ACTTTGTATTACTATCATCTACCGGCTATGCACATAATATTCAAACGGTCTCCAAGAAGTTGTGCTCGCAAAGGATACTCAGGCTCGTTACGAAAATTATATACATGCTTATTGTCACGTACTGCTAATACTATAAATATATGCGATGTGCGGCACAAATTTTTTACTCAATAAATATTCTCCATTTCCATTGGTTGCTTTGTTGTGACCCAATTTAAGATGAAATAACTCGGAAAAAGCTGTTTGCATCTAGTAAGCTGATTTTAATATTTTAAGCTATTTAAATTTATATTTCATTCTATAGAAATAACTGAAGGTCAAGAAGCATTTGTCAGTAATTTATATAGGTGGATTCAAGTAGGGAAGTCTCAATTTCCCCCCCCCCCTTCCCCACCTTCCCCTTCCAAAAAATTATATGAGGGGAGAAGTAAATTACATTAAAATTTAAGCTGGAGAATGTAATTTCCCGCCATCTAGAAGTATTGACTATGCATAGACATAAAATATTGTACCTCAGCCCAGCCCTGACCATGGAGGGGCTTTAGTGTAGTCTTACTTTGATCCCCCTTTAAAATTTCCTTTCTGGGCCTCTCTTTCGAATTCCTGGACTGGAGTGTGTATTTACTTCTGTATGTAGGCATAACAAGTTATTCTATGGTCCAGATATAAATCAAATTTGTTCAATGCAATTGTCATTTGTACAAAGTGGGTTATGATTCAGGTAAACATAAATAAAATAAATCATAAAATAATCATATCAAAACTTATAAATAAATATCTTTGATCTCATCAGCTTTTGCTTTAATTGAATTAGTAGCAAATTCTATAAGACCTTTGTATTACATTTACTGGTACATATTAATTTGCCTTGGCAGCTTTTAATTATAAGAAAGCACAATAGTTAAATACAAAATACAATATAAACAAATTATGACTGCACGTCCACAGTGTTTATTATCTTTCAGACCTAATAAGTTTTGATTTTGTCAATTTTCAGTCTTCTTTATATTTTTAAAAGTTTGTCGTAACACATGAAAAGAATAATCACAGTATTTTTCATTATCAATTCTGGGAGTTGGGGAAAATAAAAGGGTAAAACTCACGGAAACCAAAGTTTAATATATTTGATGCTGTGCCAAACTGTGACTTTACGATGTACAAAAAAAAATTATATACATTCCCTATTCCCAAGCAGAAGACCAAACACAATTTTGTTAGAGTTTCTAATATAAATCAAATTTAGAAACTCAAGCAGAAGTTCAATGAGAGTTCAGTGAAATTGACAAGTAAATGTTATACACACTCTTAAAGTCATTGACTCAGACGAAACCTGTTGCCACTTTATCAGTCTATTTCATTTTCCCCCTTATTTTTTGGCCGCTTTGCAATATCGAATATGATAGAATATTTGCCAAGCCCAGTATGTCAGCGAAGGGGTATAAATTGTAGGTTGGGTCACAGATAACACATTCTATCCAGCAATATTCAACATATCTCTGCATAAAGTTTTGCCGTCGCTTTTTCCTGGCTTGGAAATTCGCCAAGGAAGGAAAAGAAGTCGTCAGCAATGTTCTTGCAGATTTATTGTACCGTCTGTGTTTAGCTAATAAACTTGAACATTAACTTTCTATATTTAAATTGCTTTACCTTATATTTAGGTAAGTTATTATCATTCAATTGAAAACTAGGACAAGAATATACGTGAGGTCCCACCACGAAATTGACGTTTCGTTAATGAAGTCGTATTGATGTATTCACCAAAATAGGCCAAAGTCAGAATGTTTTAAACCAAATTTTGATATTAATGTTTTTGAATATAGTATTTATTCTAATAAACGCCCCCAGCGTTTATTGTTGAGAAGGATTTTTGAGCAGGCATTTAATTGAGGGAGGCTATGTTTTTTTTTTTTTTTGGTGCAGAATGGATACATACTCAAGTAAGCGCCCCTTAATTTCACAATAAATGTGGAACTACAATACATAATTTCCACCAAAATGTATTGTGTGATCGTAAAGATTCATTGATCCTAACCACTTTAGAATGAATGTAATTCTACTGGAAGAGAACATTAATAGAATGTGTTAAAAATGATGTTGCTTCGATTAGTTTTGTTTACAGTCATTTAGGGGGCATTTATTCAAGGGAGACGTTTCTTAAATGAGGCTTTGGAGGGGCATTTGTGGCGCTGTTATTTGAACAAATGTAATTTTATGCTTTATTTTATGTAAGTTTGCTTTTTAATTTTTTTACTACAAAAGTGTTCTCCATACATATTTCTGTACTTCTAGATTTATTATTTGTACAGGTTAGTTTATCTTTGGAGCTGGTAATCAATTTTAGGCAGTAAAAATCTGTAAATTACCAAAAATGACTTAAAAGGTTATCTGATTTTTGTAACTTGGGAAGTTGTCACTTGAGCAACTTTTATCTGATTTCATCAGAGACACTGTCATTATTAGTAGTCTGTTCTATTGATATAATTAATATCTATGGAATTATAGCTTGTTATTTAGATGTTTATCCTGCAATCAAAAATTCTTGTGTTAAAATCTTGTCAAAGTCAGAATTGATGGTAAACAGCTCTCATTATAGAACTTAATTTATGTAGCATAACTGCCCCTTGGGGAAGAGAAGTAGCTAAATGAATTAGGTCTACATACAGAGACTATAAACTTTTTATATATTATAGATTTTTAGAATCTATAAGGAAATGTTTTAAAACTCTATTGGCAAAATAAAGATTATGATGACTGTAAATAAATTGAAAATAAATGACAGCAAACTAAGTTCTTCTTCGGCAGCTTCATTCCAAAATTAGAAACATATGCTGGAAATTACCTCAAAAATATAAAAAAAACTCCTCCATTAAACGATCTGAAACCGCAAGGGATCAAACTTTGTTAAAATACAAACCTGACTATTACGTCTTTCAGATGCTAGTTGAGTTATCACCTACAGAATATATGCCACATTATGAGTTTATTTATCATATTTGTTGACACCATGTCTTCCGATCTTTAATTCTTTAGATTGAACAATAGACTGCATAGCCTACTGTTATCTCGCAAGCTCGCATGCTGTCCATTAGGAAAGTTTTGAAATTTTTGTTGTTCTGCTAGTGTTCCTTCTTTTAGAGATATCAAGTGGATTCCACTTTTAAAATCTCATCTTTAGATTTTCAAAATTTTATTGTATGCATTACAAAAACTGAATGATTCAGCTCGTCTGTCACCAAGTTTGGGCAAGCTAGGGCATGTTGCTGCAGCAAAGTTAAGGAACAATTTGTACATTGTTAAAATTCACTACAACATTTGCTTTTTAAATTCTATTTTTGTCAAGGCTCCCTGGAGAGTGACATGTTATTATAGATGCTAACAATATTTTGGAAAGTATAGTTGAACAAGTATGATTCAAGAAAAATTGTTTATTTTAAACGGTTTGTGTTTTTAAAAGCAAGACAGATATATATATCATGTTTATATTTATTTATTTAAAGCTACATATTTTGTCTGTAAGTAATTTATTCGGAAACTATGCTTTTAACAGTGGCACACTTCAGAATTGTGAAAGTTCATCTAAAAGAAATAGAGTACATAATTATAAAACCTAAAACAATGCAACTGACGAATATAAAGGCAAAAAAAAAGTAATGCCCAACCAAAGATAATAAAGGATACAAATAAGGTGTAAAGAATACAAATAAGGTGTATAATAAAAACAATAAATTAAATAAATATGTGAAATAAATGTATATTTGTCTTCAAATATATTTCCATAAAGTCGATGAAGTGTTTAATGGTAAAAATAAATTTAAAGGTCAAAATGTCATTGGTGACAACATACTGTATCTTATCCTCCAAATATTTGTGGGTATTTCCTGACTAAAATTAAATGCTTAAATCCTTTACTGCTATCAGCTCAATTAACATGAGCAGTCACATCAAAGGCTGCAGCAAACTTTCAAGGAATGTGAAGGGTCAAGTTTCTTGAGCTGAGGGGTCAAGGTAGGGAGGGAGTTAAGCCCATAACATGGTGGCATAACACATGCTGTTAGTTCACAACCCATTGGACCGCAGAGATAAAGTTTCTTGCTTTTGTACCACACAAGTTGGTTTTGTCGTCTGAGACTTAGACCAGCTAAATCTGTCTGGATAATAAGACTTTAATTAAGTCATTATTATTTAAGGTAGTATCTGGAAACATAGAAATAATTAAATTACTATGAAATTAATAGAAAGCAAACTAAATAGTTTAACGAAACCAATTGATTTTGATTTAGCACATATTCTCTTTTTTGTCTAACTGGCAAATTTACTTTGACAGAAGAATGCGTACATCCATAAATTTATTCTGCATTATTTTTCCCATTCATTACCATAAGCATTACAACTTTCTCAATTTCATTTTTCAATGCTCTTTAATTTCTTTTTTTTTTAAACACACATACATACAGTACTGTAATTAACTTAATGTTCTGTTATCTTATTTCGAATTTCTTTTACAATTTCTGATGCTCACATTATGTATTCTCGCATTGTCTTCATGTATTCTCACATTGTGTTCATGTATTCTCGCATTGTCTTCATGTATTCTCACATTGTATTAATTCTTTATGTATTTTGCCATGTCCTCTTGTATTCTCACTTGCATCCTTTATTCATTCTCACAAGTGCTCTTAGTGTCCTGTTATTCTCATACATTCTCACATCATTCCATCTTTATATATTCTAATCATACATTCTCATGTTCTCACATCTCATGTTATCACATCTCATGTTATCTCATCAAATCTCACATCATTAATGCATTCTCATATTACACTCATGCACATTTGTGTGTTCTCATATCCTCTTTCATTCTCACACCCACCTCATGCATTACCACTGTCATCATCCCCCTCCCCCAAATAAAATCTATTATGTGTGTTTTTTCTGATGATCATTGCATTCTCTCACCTTTCGGTACGTTTCTCACTACTTAATTTATATATATCTTTCAGTTGAGACGCATGCAGGAAATGCTTGCTCAGATGAAGGCTCAGATGGCGCAGTCTCAGGGACAGGATGTCTAATAAACAACAAATTCAGCGATGGTAGTACCTATAATACTACCAAGCTTCACAAAGTACCAATTTCGTAAATTGTTGTCGAAAAAAAATCATATTTGATCAATTGCTGTATCTGCTCAAAGAGAAAATAATGAAGGTCTTAAGAAGTTCTTTAGACTTAGAGACAGTAAGAATGAAATGCGGTACTTTAATTTTTTTTGTATCTATAGCAAAACAAACATTGGCTAAAACAGTCAGTAAAGAAACTCTTATTTAATCAAACTATGTAGTCCAGTCAAACGTAATCATGTATCTCACTGTTCGCTGCCTTTTGTATAATTATTTAAAACTGCAAGTGATTTTTTACCAATGTACTGTACTGTACAGTATGTCTACACTATCAAATGTTATGTGACAAATATATGAGATATCTCATATTTGTGTGTAATATTAGGTCACCATATGCCCATATACATGGGTACAGTACTTCACACAAATTTGTCACAAAAATATTTAGTAGTGTGAACATAGGTTAAAGGAGAAAGAGTGATTTACAAATGTAAATCCTAACTTTCTATTTTGCTGCAGTGTATAAAAGCATCATTAAACAAAAAAATCAACATGTATCCATTATATATATTCAAACATTTTAATTAGTTTTCTCATGTAAGTTGTTGTACACAAGTTAGCGTCATCATAATGTTAACTTGAGAGTTTATGTGTTAATGTATTGAAATCATATTTATTTGTAGTTTAGAAAAAAAAATCAATTTTACCGTATTTGTGTTTGGTGCTTCTATATAAATATTCAAAAATGTATTTGTCAATAATATGCTAGTTGCATAATTAATCACACTGTTAAAAAAATTATAAATGTCACTGCTGAATTTGCTGATGTGACCTATGATACATTATGCTTAAATGTAAATAGCTCTTGGTTAATTTTTTTATAATGTGATCGAAAAACAAAATTCTGGACAGTAATGTTTTTTTATTTTTACATTTACTATTTGAAAATATAGTAAATATTTATAGTACAAATCCAAAAGTCTTGTATTGATTATGTAAATTCATTCATTCATATTTCTACAACTGACTATATTAACTATTTATTTATTTTTTTTATAAGGTATGTTTCCAAGTTTTTGGAAATAAGTATGTACAGTAGTGCATTAAACTATTCCTGTAGTCATTCAAACAGTTTCTTGAAATCAGAAGTTGCATTCATTAAATAATACAATGTAGAACCATGATTTTGCATGATAGTTCAGTTGGAAATTTCATTGCAGTATTCAAATTCAGTTATATTTAAAAAGCTGATACTCTAACAATATTTCTGTATTCAACTTATCTTAGAGGCAAATGAATAATCTTTTGCGATCAAAATATTCCAAAGTAAGTTTGTTACTTTCTGCTTTAAAACTTTTGCAAGGAATTAAAATGAATTAGTTCCATGAATTTTGGAAATACACTTAAAAGTTTTTTCAGAATATTTCTATCGGATTCTGCGTTTGCAAACTCTTTACTGAGTTTTTCTAGCTTTCTGCATTCTTGCTTGGTGACTTCACTGGTCGAAGTAAAGCCGTCAATTATGCATCAAAACTTTCGGACAATATTTTTTTAGCAGTATAGTCACCAAACAAGATAGACAGCTAGAAGAAGATTTTAAATGCAGAAGCTGATATAAATTTTCTGAAAAATAGTTTCATAATCGTAGTTAATATCCTGTTTAATTACGATACAAGCAAATATGTGTTGCAAATCCAAAAACGCATTGTCTTCACAAAAGTCGGTGACATGTCCTAGTTATTAATTTAGTAGTTGCAGCTTTTCTTTTTACTGTAATGTTGCACCGCAAAGCCCTCTTTAGCAATCTCTACTGTTTTAGGCGTACCACCCCATGCTACACTTATGGTGATTTGTATACATAATAGTCGGTGATCATCAGGGTATTTGCTTTTCAAAGCTGTACCATGTTACCTTTAGTCTCCAGGGAGATGAGGATCAACAGTTAAAGTGTAGACAGGATCAGGAATGGATTAAAGGATAATCTCTACAACTGCAAGCAATTATGAATGTTAGGTGATACTAATCTTGGAGTAAGACACCCTTTACTAACACCACTCCTGTCTAGGATAAAATAATTTCTGGTTATGTTTGGAATGATGAACTATGCTTTATCCCAAGATTGAACTTTAGAAAGTGCAGTAAGTTGACAATTGATTATCACTTTCTGTAGTTAATAGGTTGGAAACAGGTAGTCTCCTATCAATGGAAACTGTCACAGACCTTAAAAATTGCTATACCAAAAATGTAAGCATTTAAGTTTCAAGTCTGTGTGTACGAAATATATAATCCATATCTTGTTAAAATGTCCATCACCAAGATGATTTGTTAATACAGTGAAAATGAAAACAAAAACAGCTTTCTCATCCAGGGTTTTTGAAAAACAGGAATACGAGGCCCTGTTTTTCTTTTCTCCACAGGCCAAATTCGATCCATAACAAACATCATTTTATAGGCCTTGTCAGGCCTAGACATATATTGATGTGGATGTTGCATATATTCAGTATTGTCTGGGTGTTTTGCCTTGTGAAAAAAGGGAAACAACTCAAAAAAGAAAAGGGACAGGGATGTGAAAGGGGTTTTTTTATCATTTGGTCTATCAAATTATAGGTACATAAATAGGCCAAAATATGTATGTGTCTCGTATATAATATAAAAGTTGGTGTTTCATCTGGTAGCAAAGCTTAATTTCCAAACACCGTTTTTACAAAAACTAAATATGAAAACAAAAAAATATAGAATTGACAGTAGATGATAGCAAACAGAAGCATTAAAGTCTGAACTGAATGTTGTGTCTTTTATTTTTTATGACTTTCCTTTATAGTATATCACTTGTGTTATAAATTTATTAACTATGCCGATGAAAAGCTTTCACTTTATTTAAAACACGGTTGCCTTGCATTTACGACCCTTCATCTGCAGTTGTTTCTGAAAATCTGCTTGGTCCACTTTTTCTCGGTTTGTTGCTTCAATATTAGTTTTATTAACTACATTTTTGTTTGCAAATTGTCAAGTGGATAACTATTGCTCAGTTGCATATGAGCAGCAGAATTTATAGAAATGGGTGGGTTGCAGGGGGGCAAACTTTAATTGGAAGTGCTTGATGTTTAAGTAAGGTGAAAGGGGCCTCTACCTGACAAATTAAGGTGATATGAAGTGATTTTTAATAATTTGAACGTAAATTGTTTGCTTCGAACATTTTTAGTGGGTGTGCCTGTGGATGTATGACGCCTGGGTGTGAAGGGGAGGGTGTGTGCACTTACATTGATACGCCACTGACGATGCCCCAATCCAAATTTTCAGGTCCCAAAGGTGGAGAGTGAACGGCGCATTTAAAGAATTGTCCTGGACATAATGTACAAAAATCATGCAAATGTTTATACTGTATATGCTGGATCATAGGCCTATATTTAGATTTCTTCCAGCATATACAGTATAAACATTTGCATGGTTTTTGTCCAGGACAATTCTTTAAATGCGCAGTTCACTCTCCACCTTTGGGACCTGAAGATTTGGGTTGGGGTGGTCTCGGGGGTTCGTGTCTTCACAATACAGAGGGTTAACTTGTGTGTCAATAGGTTGAAGATTGTAGTTTGGTTTTTTGAGAAGTGGTCTCAAATTAGAGGGGTCTCGAATTGGAGGGTGCACTGTATTTACAATTTAATTATCTTGAATCGTATTCTTTATGAGGTTTTGTTTTTTTTTAAGTTATGCGTGTGTCACTTATCCGACCTTTTTTACGAGTACAATAACATTAAGTTGCTCAACAGCTTGAAGTGTTTCCCTCTTCCATGGACCCAGTGGTAATATTAGCGCAGTTTTATTACCCGATTGTGAGTTCGCCTGAAGGGCACGGTATACACCTTAACGTTTAGGGTCACAGGCAGAAGGTTTCCCCCAGCCTTGCCTAGTTGGAACTTTGATCTTTGCCGCTCAATCTCATCTTATGTGTGATCAGTGTGCAATTAGTTATGCCTGATTGTAGTAATCGAGATGCATACCGAAAATAGAATCCAGTTTGCGGTATCTTCAAAGTCAATTTGTAGCTGAACTGTTCCAACAAGTAGAACTTTTCAAGTTCCACACGAAGTTGGTACTGTATAAAAGCTCTGGTTTCTCACCTGGTGGCATAGGCCTATATACTTTGCAATCGTACATGAACAAACTATCCAATGTTAATTTTCGTTCAGTGGTTACAAGTCACAAGACTATTGTATTTATATCTTGACGTATTTTACTTCGATCCATAATCAAATGCCAAGATCAGATCAAACTACAAGACGTAACTGCGGTGTGATGGTTTTCTGTTGTCTTGTAAATGTCAGTTTTAATTACTTGAAAATATACTGTAGTAATTCTTAGAAGTTGCGAAGTTGCCCTCCGGTATATAGGCCAATTTTCCCTCTTCCTTAGTCCTAACGTTAAAGACTTACGTCCTAAGTTTCGGATGTTATCATGTTTCATACCACCACACATGTACATAATATTATGGCGAAATATACTGGTATTTTATTTAAGGTTAAAGATTCGCTTTCCAAATGACGCATTATTTTCACTATACCTTAGTTCTTCCTCACTTATTTTATTGTAATATTATATGCTCTGATGGCAATTGTAACCTTCGTTCCACACATCTTAAACAGAAACATATCATTCGGTTATGTTCTAATGTTCATATGATCATACTGCCCCTTTATTTGTTAAATTCAATACTCTTAAGCCTACTATGATATACATATCTTGTTAAAAGCATGATTTATGTATGACTTTGTTAATACTGTAGGTCTAATAGGCCTAGCTTTCCTGTAAATTTTCACAATGATTTCGTCACAAACCAATCTCTTCACAGTTGAAACCGGGTCAGCTTGCATGTATCGCCCTCAGTATTTCCACGCTGATTTTGCAAGACACACCATTAAAACACAGGGAAATGAATTAATGAACAATATAAGAAGTCACCAACAGTACATTTTTTTAAGCAAATAATTTGCTCTCTATTACACACTTTATTATTTAGTTCGTTATTGCCAACATGCTGTCCGCGTCGTGTTTGTCTGTTTTTTCTGTTTGAGTCTGTCACTGATTTTCTGGCTTATTTTCTATATTTTGAGTGCACTTGCATTTTTTTTTTGCACAGCACCTCGCTTAGGATGGCCATCTCATCGAGTTTTGCTCTTATATTATATTTCAGATTTTCCACTTTGAAAGAATCGAGCTTTCTTTGAATTGAACATTAGAATGTTTTGTAATTTAGCTTTTTTTTTTTTTGCAAAACCAACTCGAAATCGTTCGTAAAACCGCATAAAATATCCAATATGACTCTGGTTCAAATTTGCAAAACTCCCTCTATCTATCGCCCATCATGTACACAACCAAAAGTAAATTGAACATTTTCTTCCTTTATGATGTAATCGAAATAACCTCTATTGTGGATTCTTTAGTGTTTACGAGTAGAGAACTACTACAGTTTTCGATTCCGATTTTTTTTTTAAATGATGACCTTGCTGTGCCAAAATTAATGTAATGCTATTTTGTATGAATTGACTATTAGTCCTTTTACATAATTTTATTTTATGTATGATGACAATTAGTAAACCTAGTTAAGGACAAAACGTTTGGGATAGGTTAGGACGGGGTTACCGTGTAAAAAAATTAAAACATATCCCTTGCCTTACCCATTGTCGAGCCTCACAACCCAGAAAAGTGTCCAATTAGTGATTATCAAATTTCACTGTGAAGTCAAAAATATAATTTGGATCCTGGAAGCGCATTCGTTGGCATAGTTTTTGGAATTCACTCTTCTGATTTCTTTCGGCTATTGTTACGCAGAAGCACACAAACACAGTCATGAATCTTTAATTTAATTTAATTTTTAACTGTAACTTTATTAGTTGCACATTGCGACTGTATGCGCATAATTATACACGCTTTTGTGTTTACTACCCAGCAAGATAAACTTATTAATAAGTTTATGTCAAATGGCACAAACATGACAAACTGATAAACAACCTTGCTGCTGAAACAAGATATGCTGAATAATAATTAAGACTATGCGACTGAAATTAATCATGAATGATGACGTCAAAAACCAGACTAATGGAAATAGGCTACATGTGAAAATGTCTATATATTATCAATATCCATGCAAAAGTAAGTTTGATGGAAAGCTATAGCTTTGAAAACATTCTCAGAGATAAAGTCGTCAGTCATATTATGTTTTTCTGCGTTTCTCTGTAATGCAATATACACGGTACGGTAATGTATAATTTCAAAGCGTTAGCAGACTATTTATCATTTCATACATATAAATCAAATATAAAATCGGAATGTTTAATTATACCAATAGTCATTTCTTCATTAAACGTCAACACACTACAGTATATATCATGACAAATTCCATTAAATGTGTATTATACCTGTCTCTTATACACATCTAGATGTGTATAAGAGACAGATATTAGGGGGGGGGGGGGGGGAAAGCCAAGACCAAGGCCCCATCAGGGAGAAAAAACTAAATTCGTCTGTGAGAAAAAAACCGATTACACCTTTCAAATCCCTAGGTTATCGTACTTTCCGGGGGTGGGGAGCTCTAAGGGGTTCTGGGCTACCCATGGCCTGCCCACCCATGCTTCTGTCGGAAAAATCGACCTTCCCGTGGTGGACATCCGCCCCCAGGGAAAAATGAACCCCGGTCAGAAAAATCCTGGCGCCACCACTGTTGTTTATGTGGCATGAAAATCTTATTCAAACCCAAAAGGCACACATTAATACTTAACTTTATTTGCAACTTAAACAGTTCATACGGTGTACACGCAGTCACGTACGTTTTCGTACTGTTGGTTCACATTAGAGTGATGTAAAAACGCGTTTAACGCAAACGCAAGTAACGCTATATTAACTAAGCCTTTGTCAGACACCACTGGCAATTTTCAGTGTGAGAACAACTTAAAATTAGAGTATCCATTAAACTAAAGCTTGGACGCGTATTAATTTCTCTAGTATGAACCAATCATTATAAAATCGTGTATATTAAAAATATAATAATTATGATAATATAAACCTTTATAAAATAATAAATAATACTTTAATAGTCAAGAAAACATAATTCATTATTAGATATTATGAATATAGAATTGATCAATAACACTTAACAGTAAGGTTAGTTTAAATATATTTTAAAAACTTATAACGTTAAGGTCCAGCATTTGGATATACGCAGCTAAAATATATTTCAGTTGATTAAAATATAATAATAAATAGCAAATGCATACGGTAACTTATAGGCCTATGCCTATGCAGCATTGTGAGTTTTGATTTTGCGCGAAAGGATCTCATAATAAGATCTGTATTTCAGTTGAAATAAATTCAGCTGACGCATGACTAAACTCAAGTGAGAATCTTGCATTTACAGTGATATATAACTAACAGGTACCGGTATACTTAGGCCTATGTTTTATACCAACTGAGAACCAAGAGTAAGTAGGCCTTTGTCACAATATTTAGGATATTTCATTCTACTTTGCAGCACTGCTAACTGAATCGTGAACTAATGAATATGCATAGTTGTATGACTCAAGTTAAAACGGTCTGTGAATGGAAATAAGTTACATGAATATTAATGAGGTTAAGGCAAAGTGACAGTGTATGATTCGTGCATTTAAGTGTAAAAGTATGCAAATGTGTTAAAAAGGGTTAGTTTAAAGGTATCTAGCCAGGAGTTGAAGATAAAATATCTTAAAGGAAATATGTGGACTGAGGAGTGCCGGTTAAAGGACATATCAGTCGAGGCACATTTTAAGATAAAAGTACAAGGCTTATATGTAAAAGCTTAAAGTAATTATACGTGAGTGATAGATGAAGTAAGAGAGCTTCACAGTATTTTTGAATCAAGAAATGAAGTAAAGAATTGACCGTGAGTACTGTTAATAGTTGATAAATCAGAATATCTACCTATTGGCATATTAGGGTAGTAGTACTAATTGTGCATGTATTTGGATATGTTATAGGAATACTTACCTTCAATATATATATATATATACATATATAAATATATGCTATGTATAATATGTTAAAGCGAATATTGATAGAAAAGGAATACCATTAGCATACCATTCTATATAAATGTTGTATTAATTTATAGATGGTCGGAGGAGGTCTCAAAGATAAGAAGGGTATATTAAGCTGTCTCTTATACACATCTCAGACTGAGGGGAAAAGCCCTAGCAGTTAGCAAGACTTAGTAGATGATCTGTACTTCGAATGCATTATTACAGTGATAAAGATTCTGGGAGGTAGCACAACACTTCGTCATTGGATATACAAAACGAACTTTTATGTAATTAAAACAAGTTGATTTTATATATTTTTTTTTCTGTGTCTTATGTCCAGTCAATGTCGTGACAGCCTTATATTTGTTAACAGCTTGCCTCTTTTCAGAAACATTCTCGAGGATTACGGGTAAAACTGTATTACCATACCACCATGGACATTCACGATTATTGGACGGATTCAATATTTCTCAAACATAACGAAAATATAAAAATACCTTAAATTGTATAATATATACATGTACAATATTTTCATAGTTTTTGTTCAAAAAAGAATCTTTAAAATATTTCTCCTGTCGAGAAGATACTTCTCAGAGCCTAAGTCCCCCGTTTGTGATTTTGAGATAGAGGGCTGGATCCAGTGTGACGTATTTCTGTTGCACATCGTCCATAAAATACAGCGGGTCAGACACTAGCTCTGGATCGAAGCCTTCTTGAACTAACTGCGTTTTCTTTTGTTTAAACGTACACGTGTGTTCCATGCTGGTAACCAAACGGATGAAGCGCGGGCATGCGTAATTTGGGAGAGATTTTGTCACGTGATGAAATAACTTTTCAGGATTAATTACGCATTGGGATTTCATAATGATAGCAGCCATCCCAGCTTTGCCACAACAACCTAAAAAAAAATCGATGAAAACAATATTGTTAAACTTTCATTAAACTTTTTCCATTAATTTTCATTTTATTTTAATTTCAATTACAGCGCATTTCATGATCTGTTCCTGTTGTCAATAGTGTACATTGTCAATACCGTATTCATTTGATAAGCCCTGCTTTGAATAAACACCCCCTCGAATAAACTCCCCTTCAGTCGTTTATAAACGGGCGTTTATAAGCGACCCCCCCCCCCCACAAATCACGTTTATAAGCGCCCCCCCCCCCCCACAAACCACTGTAATCAAAACTGATGGAGACACATCATTCTCATTAAGTTCTGTTAAAGTTCTACTCGATTTTTCTAACCTGGTTGGGATCAACAAGTCTATACACGTATCCATTTTACAGTAAAAAATATACGCCTCCCTCAAATAAGGCCTCTCAAAAACTCTTTTCAATAAAGTAGTACTGTAATGTAGTGTATTCAGTATTTAAAATACATAGGCCTGGATACCATATATAGGCCTAGAACTACTTACCACCGTACGTATAGGCCTACTCAGGTGTGAATATGTAGGCCATAACATCATACTACCCACGACTATTGTGATAATAAATATTCTAAAATAGACACTTCCACAAATATTTGTACAATAAAAATAAATTATAATGTGTGTATGGTGCAGACAGCCGATGGGTATTTTTAAAAGTTCTCTTGGATGGTCATTGGGGAGCAGAAAACTCAACTAAGTTGTCCGTGGGCGTTAGAAAATAAACATTGAGAGTGCGGGTGTATTACTGATTCAATATTGGAGAAACATATCTCAATTCATCGCCAACAAAAAGTAAAATGTCATAGTTCTTATCGCAGGTAAGAGAACTAAACAGACAGTGGTGTAAAATTGTAAATTGAAGTGCCATATACGGTATTAATGCTACAAAGTGTGGAAATAAGTGAAGGTCTGTAGTGTACTCGTATAGATTGAGAAAAGCTTGAAGTTCCCATTAAGGGCATAGGCTGTGGATAGGCTACTCAAAGATAAGAAGGGTATATTAAGTCTGTGCCAGGGCTGTAGCTTATATTGTCAGTTTAAGCCATGTAAAATTTAAAAAATTGGTCGGTATATTAATAATTGTATAATAATTTATATAATCAAGTATATTACAGGTCTCCCTCCAATTAAAAACCACTTTCGCAACCGGGCTTTCCGTGGTCTTCAACAGCTTTGGTCTCTAATTAGAATAATGAAGATAAAAGACATCTGTTAATATAAGACCACAGAAAAGTGATCTTTAATTGGAGGGGTCTTTAATTAGAGGGAGACTTGTATTTTGTCATAGTTAATCAATGTCAGTCAATAGTTCGATTCTCAAACGATCTCATATTTTTTAGCCACTTCCCAATCCCGACCACTCCCTTATAAGACCCTTGCGACTTACCTGTCACACAGACACCGTAGACATTTGCCTCCAAGACGCCTTCATACTCGTTTATAACTTGTGCCACTTCCGTTGTCGCAACATTCTCCCCTTTCCATCTGATCAACAAATATAAATCACTTTATTGATGTAATCAGTTATAAATAAATATTAAACTTTCATAACTTTTAATTATTTTGCTTGTATCCGATTCTGCATTATTTTCATTGAAAAGTAACATTTTAAGGAAATGGTTCAGTTCAAAAGTTTGAAGCGATAGATATGATAGGCATTAACATTTCAGAATAGTTCAAACTGAAGCTAAAAGTGCAGTTGGTAATCGAATACCGTAGTAGTTTGGCTATGATTGTAGGATTTGATGCACTAGGGAATAAACACCATCCGGTTAATCCTCTGACACCATCTGACTTATCCTGCTTATTATCCGCTTTTCCTGGAAATTGTATCACATGATCATACACCAGACGTCATGACATAACAATTAGGGCCTATTCGATATTTCGTTTGCGGAAACGGGGGTAAACGAATTTTAAACCGCGACTCGGTAGATTACGTGAGCTCTGGCAAGTATTCACCAATCAGTGTATCAATCGATCAGTCGATGAAGCAATCATATCAGTCGATAAAGTAATCATATCAGTCGATCAATAATTATATAAATCAATTAATCAATTTATCAATCAATTAATCAATCAATCAATCAATGAAACATTTCATCAATCGATCAATTACCCGCGACTCGACAGGAGTTAGGTGAGCTCTGCTGTCAGTAAGCATTCAATCAATCAATCGATCAATCAATCAATCAATCAATCAATCGATCAATCGATCAATCGATCAATCGATCAATCGATCAATCATTCAATCATTCAATCATTCAATCATTCAATCAATCATTCAATCAATCAATCATTCAATCAATCAATTAATCATTCAATTGATGAGTCAATCTTGTCGATCAATCAATCAATCAATTCATCAGTCATTCAAACACTCAATCTATCCTTCAATCAATCAATCGCTAAACCTACCAACCACCCTATCGACCAATTAATAGGCCTAAATGGGCCTACAGTATCACTCAATAATTCGCGGTTGTGTGAAATAAACATTAAATAATCAAAACAATTTTTTTTTCAAATATTGTTGCTGAATATGAATCCACATATGCCTAGATATAGTATGGCCTAATAGGCATATAAAATGTTTATAGACTGCTGGATGAAAATGAAACGCGATCACATGATCAGACGATAGTGCAATATCAAAACTAAAACATTTCCTTCAATTTACCGTAGTGTTATTTCTTATGTTTTCTTTTTTCATGTGGCTACATTTTACATGTGCTATGTTACGGTTAGGCCTATCAAATTCTAGAAATCCCTGTGATTAGGAAGGTAAATGATGGGCAAATATCATACTTGTAGGCACCAGCCTCTACTTGAACTCAGCTCAGAGCACCACAAATAATTGAAACCATTTCTTGTTTCCTATGGCTTTTGATCTAAGTGTGTATTCTTATACAACGTAATGCCGATGGGAAGCAATAATGTTGATTCACTTTGAACAGCATATAGGCCCTCGATACTTCAGATTTATAGCTTTTGACAAAATTGACATCACGTAGACCTACGGCAAGCTTGGTGTCATCATTAGTAATTTAATTGCATTAAAACAGTGGCTTCATTCCAAGAATTGTTCGAGGAGGAATAAAAATATAAACGTAGAGAAGATGCAGTGAACAAATGACACAACCCTATGCTCCGCCTAGGTCGTCGTAGTGTCACAAAACGGTCAAAAACGTAGGTTTTCTTTATAGAGGCGTTGTTGGTATTAAACGATACCACTGTATTATACATTATATATTGGCCAGTATCCTATCAGATTTAACTTATAAACTTTATGAATACAAATTCGTTCGCTTATGTTTCATTTATTTATCAGTGCCTGTTGAACAGTGGTGGCGCCAGGATTCGCCCGACGGGGAGTCCAAGGTCTCCGACAAGGGCGGGGAGGGGAGGGGAGGGGGCGATGTCCCCGACGAAAAAAAGGTGGGTGCGGTCGGGTGCCGCACAGAAATATCACGAAAGTGTACCAGGGCCGAAACCCCGGAAAATTATGACAATTTAGGGGTTCAAAGGCTTATTTTAATCGGTTTTGGAGTCTACTAATATGTAAAAAAATACATAACCTTTTTTCTCCCCGACGAATTGTGGTTTTTCTCCCCGACTGGTGGGGCCCAGCTCTCCCCGACGGGGGGGGGGGATTCCCCCGGCCCCCGATAGCGCCACCCCTGTTGTTGAATGCATTATGTAAACATCCTGAGCTATTGATACTGTTATTGGCTGTACACAGCGCAGCGCATAGGCTCGCATGCTGATGACCGTTGTAGATAGGAGGCCACGCTCGACCTGAAACATGTTAATTAAACTCACCTAAACGTGTCTCCCAGCCTGTCTTTAAAGTACAGAAAGTGATCTCTATTTATTATGAACAGGTCTCCGGTATTGAAGTAAATATCGTCCTTGCGCAGAACGTTCCTAATCAACTTTTTTTCTGTTTGTTCTTTATTTCCAACATACCCCTCAACTGGAAACATTTTGTTGACAGGACACACGAGGAGGCCAACTTCACCTTTATTCAAAAATGTAAACAATAAAAAAAAATTTAATAATGCAGTTCAATGTACCATTATGCAATCTTAAAACTATTGTTTCGTTGTTTTGTGTTACATAAATCAGCTGCTTCATTTATAAATCACGTCATGGAAGAGGACACATACGTTGGTAATAGTTACGAAGGTTCTAACAACAACACGAGAACATAGGGA